AATATTAGATACCTTAAAAAACTTGAATAAATAGTAAATAAACATTTTCTAACAAAAAGTGCAAAGTAACAAGTAGAAAAAAAGAAATGCACAAAGAACTTGTATGGAGATTTTTCCATCTACAGATTTTCCCCAGACCTTCTTTTCTCTGTAAATTAAGGGTGCACACTATTGCTGAAAAACACAATCACTACCCAGCAGTCAGATGTCCGTATGCACAAAGGCACAGATTCCTAAACAAGACCAAATCTGCAGATGAAACTTTTTTGTAGAAGCTTTTTTTAAATTTGAACTAGCACCAACTACACAACGTTATGTACGAGAAACTGCAAAAGACACAGGCGCAAGTGGAATGTACAAAACATGGTGACATTAATTTTTAAGTAAATATAATGGGCAATATATTGCGTCACCAAAAATTATTGAGGTCATGTACATAATATATTGCGCGATAAGTCGATATATTGATTATTGCGACAGGCCTAGGTGCAATTATAGTTTATGTACCTGTAGAGATTCATTAAACTGTGAAATGCTTGTGATGGAAATTTACATCTTGAAACCTAGTGAGCTGCCTACCTAAAGCGACTGTTTTGAACAAATTAATTTGAAGTAATTTCGAAAGTATGAACAAATAAAAATGTATACCATACGCAACTCGCTTTGGATAAAAGCATCTGCCAAACATGTAAATGTTTTTGGGAATCACAGGCAAGGCTAAAAGGGTGGAACGAAAGTCTCAATTCAAATTAATCAAATAGAATCATCTCAGAAGAGAAGTGAATGAATGCACGCATGTCACCTGATCCACAAATGCACATTTTAATCGCTACATGCACAAATTATGATACTTTAATACAAACTATAACATTTGTATTCACAAATATGTCTCTATTTGAGAAAAGCATTTGTTTCAGTGTAGTGACGCACATTTGCGAATTTTTAAAATCGCGTACACGTTAATGAATTGCACTGGGCCTTGTTCGTTGGTAGTTGCGTGTGTGGGGGACGTGAAATGCTGTAAACTACGAAAATTAAGTCTCAAAATCCAAATGAACCGAACGAGATTGACTCGAACTAGACGTCAATTAATGCAAGCGTGTCACCTGATCCACATATGCACAGATTCCTTTTTGCATGAGCAAACACTTTATTTTATTTGTATCTTTGCTCAATTGTATTTATTTGTGCGGTTGCATTTAGTTTGATTATTTGTTATTCTTTATTTTACCATAGACATTTTTTCCCTGAACATAGCACATACCGAACCGAACCGTGACCCTAAAACCGTGAAACGACCGAACCGTGAGCAATCTGAACCCTACTAAATGGGCATCTCGCTAGGTTTGAAAATGCAGCAGTGGTGCTGTCATAACCAAATCTACAGGATGCCTGCCTGGACACTTCAGCATAAAGACTGGAACTACTCTCTCTCTCTCTCTCTTACTCACACAGCCTTTAGTCCAAAGGTCATTAAATACGTTAATAAAAACCCCTTCAGCGTTCAAGGAACTGGACTTTCGCTGATCCAATTAGTACTACAGCAATCAATCAATCGACACAAAAACGGTAAAAGTATGTTCAAAGACAAAATTATATACTTTGAACACGAATAAAATTACGATTAAGCCGTTAAATGAGAGGTCTACCTGAGGGAGATTTATAAAGAGCGGAGTTGAGACAACAGATAACGCCATTTTCCTGCTTCCTTTAACTAACGTTACCAGTCCAGTATGTAAACTATTAGGACATTTGAACGGCTATTTGGACACGTTTTGGAAGTGTGATCTAACGTACATACACAGCACGTAACGTTACGTTATTATTTATACACACACCGCGTTACTTCACTGACACATAACGTAGAGCTCTGAGTGAAGGTTAGCTGGCTAACGAGCGAGTAAAGCAGTTCTTTGCGTTGGGTGTTTTTGTCTTGGCTGATCAAGTACAGATAGTTTTTTAGTTTGTTTTATTATTGTCTCTGTCGTGTAAACCCACCGTCCGGATCTTGGCTCAGGAATGAAGGCACTTCCCCGCTGTCCAGGATGCTGAAGCCCTCGTCATTCTCGATGCCCGCGATTTCACTCTCCTGCTGGGCCAAAAATGCTGCCGCCGGGTCCTCGTCTGCCCCCACACCGTTTCCTGCGCTTCCTTGAGGTGCACTGAGCATATCAAAATCGTCCATGGCTCGCTAATTTTGTTTAAACTGAGAATAACTGAAAACACAAATCACCCTACTGTCTTCCTCGTCGACGGCTCCAATGTGGGGGAGGTGCTTAAGACAGAACGGACGCAAAGGAAACGGCCACCCAGCCAATCAAAGTTGTGTATTTTTGATGGGCAGTTCTACTGTCGAGTCGCCGACCAATAAAATGACTAAACCGTGGCTGTGCGAGTCCCGTGACCATCAGCGTGCCCTGATAGGGCGTTGCAGCAATGTGGGATTGCATGCGTATCAATCTATAATGAATATAAACAGGGTTTGTCATGAAAAGCTGACAGTGTAGTTAGTGCCTTTCACAAAAAGAATCATGCTGGACCTTCAGTGTCAGTTGAAATCAAGATGTATGTGTCATTTTAGCTGACAGGGAAAACGCCTGCTTTTAAAATAAATAAATATAAAATAGTAATATCCTGCTAATTCAAAACCACATTCAAGTACCATGGTATTTAAATGGTACTCAAAGACAATTATGATACTATCATGTTATACATACAAAAAAAAAGATTCATGGTATTACCATGGCAAATGCCCACAAATACCTTCATTTATTTATGCATATGAATAAAATCCTACACATTTTGGATTTCATCAATTCATCTTCAAAATGAGACAGACTTCCATTGTTTTTAGTTCCATTATTTATTCAACAGTATTTGGCAAATTATAACCCATATAAACAAAATGAATTGGGTCTTACGGTATATACAGCATTTGTTATATTATTGCATTTGTATTTGTCTGCCTAACAATTTTAACCGTGGTTCTAGAATAATGCATTTAATTTGGGCTAAAACATGTCAATTTCGTTCCAGTCTGATGAAGACTGACAGGCTGCGGAGACGGTTTTCCTCAAGCTTTGGCTTTTTTGCTGTAGTTGTCGACTGCATCCTCAGTGATGCTCTCATCCTCCTCGATATCTATTGTCACTTTCTTCCCCACCAGCAGGAAGATGTCTTCCGGAGCGATACCCTTGGGTTCTGCTACTTTCACAGACAGCATGTCCAGGGTTAGTTCTGTACCTTTCGGGATGGCTGTCTTTGCCACCACAGACTTCCCAAGCTAGAGAGGAGTGAAAGATGGAGAAGAATTATTGGAATGTAGTTATGAGTTGATTACTTGAAGACAATGTGGTTGTGCTGTTCAAAACAAAACAACCCACTGACATAAAAAGAAAAGAAAAAGCAAAGTTAAGGAAGGAGTAGCAATACTGGGTAGCCAATGGATAAATGTGAAGATAAAAAAAAAGAAGAAAAGATAAGACAGGATGTTTTGGAAGGAAACGGGACAAGAACAGGAATGCAGTGGAAGGAATGCAACATACAGTAAGACTGAAAGAGAATGGAGCTGTAAAACAGATGGGCTTGAAGTAGAAGGTAAAGATGAAAGTGAAAAATAATAATACAGTGGACACAGAAAGTGCTGTAACACCTTTCCTCAAAAAGCTGCATGATTTCAGGTATCATTCAGGTTTGTAGCACACGGTAGTTATTGTTTACTAAAACTATTAAATTAATTGAAATGAAGCATAAATCAAATGAAATAAATATTAGGTGAAACTCTTAAACCTAAAAAAACTTAAACAGAAAATTCAATTAAATTAAAAATAAATTAAAGCTAAATAGAAATATTTAATAAAAATGACAAAAGCACATAACAAAATTACTAAAAATGTCAAATGAAAACTGAAAATATAATTAAAAAGTAAATAGTATATAAACAAAACTTAAATATAAAAAATAAAATACTGATAAATACTATAACAGAATATAAATTTAGCACAATTTTTAGAGTTAGCGCTTGGGGAAAAATCCCCAGCCCTTAGTATGAGCAATAGTAATAGTGTTGCTTGTCTCTTAACACCACTCATGACATGTGAACATAAAATGAAAAGGAAAGGAAAGTATTTTAGTATGTAGTTCTTCTTGTACCTTATCATGGCATGGCACCTCACAGGGCAACATGCATTTCACCCCAGTGCCCAAAGCTTTCTCCACAATGCGGATCGATCGCACCAGCTCAGCCAGCTCTGCAGGCTCCAGAGACGCCGCATGATCACTGCCTTTCCAGGTCTTGTCCAAGGTCACGTGGCGCTCCACGACCTTTGCTCCCAGTGCAACTGCCCCAACTGTGATGCTGATCCCACTTTCATGGCCTGAGTAACCAATGGGAATGTCTGGAAATTCTTTTTGATATTCCTATAGGTTGGAAGGGGAAGCATGTACAAAAATATACAAAGTTTTACTTTATGGTGACTTTGTGATATTCATGTATCTAATCATAATAATAAATTATTTAATTATTTAGCTAACCATATAATTATATAAGAAAACGTAAAAGTGACGACCATAGTGATTCTGATTTTGAAACATGTGCTGTACTTGAAATATATCAAATGGCTTTATGAGTGTGAAAAGAGCTGGTTTCTTTACCATGATAACCCGCAGGTTGACGTCCTCAGGTTCCAGTGGATATGCACTTGTGCACTGCAGGATGCAGAAGTTTTGGTTGTGTTCCTTCACAGTTTCATAAACACGACGCATGGTCTCCATGGACTGCATCCCACTGGATACTACCATGGGACGTCCTGAACACACACAGACAAGCATCAGAAGTTAAATTTGTTTTGTAATTAGTATTAAGAATATATATTTGAATTAATAACATTTATAACCTATGCTTATCAGGGTTGCATGTTTTGGTGTAGTGTTATGTTAACATTTTTTTGGGGAAGTCGTGGCCTAATGGTTAGAGAGTCGGACTCATAACCCAAAGGTTGTGGGTTCGAGTCTCGTACTGGCAGGGATTGTAGGTGGGGGGAGTGAATGTACAGCGCTCTCTCCCACCGCAGAGCACTAATTCTGAGTGTGGGTCACCATACTTGGCCACATGTCACGTCACTCACTTATATGGTGAAAAATTATTACAATTTAAAATAACCGTTTTCTACTTTAATATATTTTATATTGTAATGCTTACATTTTTTTTGACAAATAGAAAATGTATATGAAATCGAAATCTTTTTAATATTATAAATGTCACTTTTGCTCAATTTAATGCATCTTTGCTGAATAAAAGTATTAATAAATTTTGTTCAACCTTCGAACAGTAGTGTGTGTGTGTGTGTTTTTTTATATATATTTATTTGACATTAGTAAACATCTTTAAGACAATTAGCATTTTTTAAATGTTACAATAACTTACTGATTGTTTGCGATAATATCATTAAAAATAATTATAACAAATAAAAAATAATAAAAAAAACACACACAAAAGGGACCTTTTTGGGCAGTTTTTTTGAGGTAGGGAAAGTTGTTGGTGTCTCCAGATCCAACTTTGAAAAAAGGCACATTGAGCTCATGCAGGAATTCTACAGCCATCTTAAAAACACAAGACAGAAACACTACAATTAACACACTTAACATTCTTGGTAAGTATCATGTAAATGCTGTAGTATTTGAATACAGTAATAATTTAGTGCCATGGAACACATCAAGGTACCACCAGATACCAAAGTATCCTATACCATCACTGTACCATGGGACTGCTAGAGGTAGCTGACTAACGAGAAATATAACAATACACAAGACTTCTGGGTATTTGATGTGATCAGCAGGCCCCTGACATCTTTCCTTGTTATCAGTAAGTCTGAAGCCAAAAGATCGTATAAAAAATAAAATAAAAAAACAAGATAGTAGTCTAACAATCTGCGCATGCGTTCTGCGGCTGTAACCCGCTCACCTCGTCCATTCCGGACGCAGTGAAGAAGATCCCCACTTCTTTAGCGTACTGCTGCAGCTCTCTGTACTGCTCGTGGCTGAACTCTAGATGGCGCTTGTGCTCTCCGTATGTTTTTCCCCAGGAGTGTTTGGAGGTGTACGGCCGCTCCAGGGCTTTCTTACTGAACTTAAACTCCAGCTCACTCTTCTGAAACTTCGCACAGTCTGCCCCGCAGTCCTAGCAAAGGAGCAACAGTTGCATACAATAATAAATATCAGAAACAATGTAAAATAACGAAACCTTATATGTAATGACGACAGAAAAAAATGAGTAAATATAATATACTATATTTGAAGACATTTTATGGTATATTATTATAACATAATTTCAATTTTTTATAAATAATTCCATTATGAATGGAATGTACAGTATGTACTCATTGCTTTCTTTCAGAAAACACAAAATCAGTACAAAAATAATCTAAAAGTTTATAGCACTTATCTATTAATAACATAATAAAAATGTGTATGAACACATGTAATCTTATTAAACGTCTTTATGAGTACAGTTGTGGTTTATGCGTCAAAAGATATCCTACAGCAAATACCGATGTTGATAAACATAAATAAACTCATACCTTTGCCATCTTGATCATTTTCTTGGCGATTTCAATGTCTCCCTGATGATTCTGTCCGATTTCTGCAATAATGAAACACGGGTTGTTCCCTCCGATCATGCGACCGGGACATAACTCAAATTTAAGAGGCATTTTAAATCCAAATGCACAAATACAGCAAGAAAAGCTACAGAAATAGCAGGACTGGAGTCTGTCTCGCTACTTTACACGCGTCAAACTCTGAGATGGAAGACCCCGTAGAACTTCCGGGTTTATTTGCGCACACGCCCATCCGTTTCAAAATAAAAGTTATCTTCAATAAAACGCTGAACTTTTCATTATTCATCATCTTTACGGGGTTCTTGTTAAACAGATAATGTTTTAACATATAGAGTAATGGTTTAACCTACTATAAATTCCTGAATTTTGCCACATCTGGTTCAGATGACTAACCACATCCAAATTGGTTTAAGAAGAATCATTAGAGAAGGACAAGGGTATAAAAAAAAAAGGAACAAAATGGATATTATTTGCATTTTAAATATATTTATATACATACATGTAAATGTGTGTGTGTGTGTGTGTGTGTGTGTGTGTGTGTGTGTGTGTGTGTGTGTGTGTGTGTGTGTGTGTGTGTGTGTGTGTGTGTGTGTGTGTGTGTGTGTGTGTGTGTGTGTGTGTGTGTGTGTGTGTGTGTGTGTGTGTGTGTGTGTGTGTGTGTGTGTACACACATACATACACACAGACATATATACACACTGAACAAAATTATAAACGCAACACTTTTGTTTTTGCCCCAATATATACACACACACACACACACACACACAGACATATATACACACTGAACAAAATTATAAACGCAACACTTTTGTTTTTGCCCCCATTTTTTCATGAGCTGAACTCAAAGATCTAAGACTTTTTCTATGTACACAAAAGGCCTATTTCTCTCAAATATTGTTCACAAATCTGTCTAAATCTGTGTTAGTGAGCACTTCTCCTTTGCCGAGATAATCCATCCACCTCAGAGGTGTGGCATATCAAGATGCTGATTAGACAGCATGATTATTGCACAGGTGTGCCTTAGGCTGTCCACAATAAAAGGCCACTCTAAAATGTGCAGTTTTACTGTATTGGGAGGTCCAGGGGGGGTCCGAAAACCAGTCAGATCTGGTGTGACCACCATTTGCCTCACGCAGTGCAAGTTGCAACTGCAACACATCTCCTTCGCATAGAGTTGATCAGGTTGTTGATTGTGGCCTGTGGAATGTTGGTCCACTCCTCTTCA